TGTCTCAAAGCCCTTGTACCCCTGGATCCTTATTAGTCATTCACAACACAATGTGAGAGACCAGTTCCTTCTCAGAGCTAGACTGGATTGTGTGGTTATGGGGTAAAAGTGGGGCTGAAGGCAAAAGGGAGCTGGAACAGGGTAGGAGGAATCTGTTCCCTCACTGTACCTCTGGCTCTCAGGTGTTGCCCGGGCTTTCCTTCCCCATCCTGTGCCTAGCTCCAGAGCCCTGAAAACAGAGAACCAGCAGTCATCAGGAGCACCCACTTCTTTGCTGATGGGATAGACATAGGCTCTGGTCCAGACACTCCTGCTATCTGAGAGAACTAGCCTCCCTGAGTATGTTCTCATCTGTAAAATGGGTGTAAAGTGCCTACTTTGTGAATGTTTTGTTTGGATTTAAAAGACAATGGGTATGTGTGACAGCTGGCACACAGTCTATCCCCTTTGAGGAATGCCAGGTAAGGAGGGCACAGCTATGATCTCAGGGGCCCAGAGCAGAGGGAGACTTCCTAGAGGAGGTGTCTGGACAGGCATCGAGGGCTCTGTTAGTTGATGAGCCTGTTGTCTTGGGTCCTGGGTGCCCAGATCAGCAGACATTCCAGACTCTAAACTTACTTTATAACTAAGGGAAGGGAAGGGAGCTAAGGCATATTAACCCCTCCTGGATGCCCTGCACTGGTCTTTTCATTCCACCCAGTGGGCACCAGAGACAGCATCATGGCCAGGACCATGCTGCTAAGTGAGAAGGGGCAGGGCTGGTGGAAGAACAAGCCTTCCTGGCCCCAAAGCCAGTGCTCTCAGGGGGTGAGCAGGGCCTGGATGCTGGGTCCTACCCACTGCCTCCAGGCCCTGGTTTGCCCAAACAGCTTCCAGAATCCAGGCCTGCTCTGCACTTACAGAGAAGAGCCTGTTTAGCATCATATTAACACACACATACCTCCTCTGGCAGACAGGTGGTGACAGCACATGAGCTCCACTGGTCAGGAATCAAACCCAGGTTTCCCCCATGGAAGGTAAAATTTCTACCATTAGCTACCATTGTCCTTACCTCACAGGTGCACTCTAAAGGTGACTTGTGAATGAGAACATCTTGAAACTATGACTGTAATGTGTTCCACAGGCTCCTCGTGCCCAGCTCAGGGCCTAGCATGAGACATGCATTCACACACTGATTCAGAACATGCTCCAAGCTCTGAAGGATGCCAGTTTCTGCACCAGGTGCTGAAAGTGCTGGGATCCTTAGGCACACACTGCTCTTGGCAGAGTCCATCACCCCAGGAGATGGGTGGTTCCATAGGGCAGCCGGGAGCAGGATGCTCATGCCCAGGGAAAGGGCTTCTTGAGGGGAGGGGTATCATGGAGGAGAGGCCTGACTTAAAGGGATGAGAAGGAGTCTGTCCAATGATATATGGATGCTGAAGTCATTTGAGGCCAAGGCTCAGCATAGGCAAAAGCACAGGACTGTGAAAGAGGCCCAGCCACATCATTGAACAGCCATGTACACTGCAGTCACATCTGCAAAAGCTGCAAAATATCATGGAAACATGCTACAGGAGAGTGGGTAATTGCTGCAATCTAGATGTTAAGACATCTGGATGTCACCTGTTCAAGTCCTGTTTTTACTGTGCTGCACTATTGAATGTAATTAGTAATCATCTCTGGTTCGCTCCAGCCATGGGGACAAATCATTCCCTCTCTGAAGTAACCAGTTCTACCATTGTCCTTCCACACATCACATAATCAGGTGGGCAAACTTTTGATTACTTATTAGCTGTTTGAGGACCTTTGGGCACTTGTAGATTTTACTCTCAAAGTGTGATACTAATGCTTTAATAATAACCATCATGTATTAATGCCTACTGGGAGCTCTGGTAATGTAGTGCCTAAGGCACTTGACTGCTAATCAGAAGGCTGGTGGTTCAAACCCACCAGCCACTGCTCAGAAGGAAGATGAAGCAATCTACTTCCATAGTGATACTGCCTTGGAAACCCAAGGAGGGGTCGGTGTGAGTCTGGTCTGACTCGATGGCACATAACAACAACAACAACAACAAACATTAATGCCTACTAGGTCTCAGACACAGTGTTTGGGGACTTTCATCCTCATGTCAACCTTGTGAAACAGACACTATTATTATCCTCATTTTGCAGATGAGGAAACTAAAGTTTACATTACTTTGTCAGTGTGACTCAGCTGGTAAAGGCTTGGGTTCTCATCTAGGCTTGTGTGTTTCTAAAGCCCATACTCTTTTCTTTCCACTATGTAAGATCACAGAGAGATGATTTCCTGAAAATTTGAAAATTAAAACTTGATCAATTTGGTTTCTAGTGATTTAACTTATTTCACAGCAACTACTCTAGAATGTCTGAGTTTTCCCTAATGGGTAAGTTTTCTGAGTAGATGGCTGTTCTGGCTACCTAGTGCCACTCTGACAAGAATATATACCACAAATAGGATGGTCTTAATGAACAGGAGTTTATTCTTACAATTTGGAGGCTTTAAGTCCAAGTTCAAAGTGCCAGGCTCTAGGGGCTGGGTGAAAGCCCCTCAACCTTGGGGTCCAGCTCTGTCTCCTGCTCCCAGCCCACTGGAGCTAGAGGCACTTTTTTCACTCAGACAGCTGCAGGCTGCTGAGGCTGAGAAGCCCCAAGGTTGACAAGTAAAAAGGCACAGTACAGTCCCGATATTACTAAACCACACGTCAGGCCATTAACTTAAGTCCATTGTAAGTCCCAAGGTCAGCTGAGCATGGCAGGCTGCTGAGCAACAACATGGCTACATGCAGGCTCCAAGCATGCCATAGGCTAGAGACCATTCTCAAGGCTTCTCCTTATATACAGGAAGCAGACTACATCCCAAAGGCAGCTACTAAGCTGCTTGTGGTAGATCCCACCATGGAGGTGATTGCCAGTCTCATCATGGGGAATAACTACCACCAGCTGTGCAGCCACTCAGCCAGGCCCAGCCAAGCTGACACAAAAATAAAACCACCACAATGACCTTGAAATACTGCTGGATTGACTTACTTCATGCCCAGCATCACATGATGTGAATTCCCCATCATGGGCTGTGTTGGAGCCAGCTCTTCCTCGTGAGTGGATAGGTCACTGCCATGCCAGCCTAGGCCAGGGGGACCAAGCCAGGGGCACAACTGAGTGTTGATGGGGTCCCAGGAGAAAGACATCTGTTAGCATTAGAAATAATTTCATGCAAGGAAGGCTACAACAATATTCCAGAACTTTCATTACAGCTCGCCATTTCAACGTCGTCTTAAATGCTGATCTCTCCCTTCACAACTGATCCTGTGGCTGACCACTTCAAACCAGTGATTGCCTGCCTGAATGAAGAACTCTGCTTGCAGGCCACCTCCCAACTTCTCTCTTTTTCTCAATTCTCTTAGGAATATGAGCTCTTTGCATCTTAACACTGGTATTCATATTGTCTTTT